GGACGGCGCCGTAAGGGCGCTTCGCATCGACGACGGGGATATGCAAGTTGCATTTGCCCAGTCAAATCTGGCAGGACGTGCCAAGACCTGGGCTTTGGGGCTCATGTTACACGACCCAGGTTTGTTTGGGTCGTTGGAAGTCTTCAAGTCGCGGCTCAGATAAACGTTTGAACCGCCTAGAGCTGAGTTCAGAGCTCGAACCGAACTCTTGGAGCTCAAGCAGGGTAAGCGTGATGTGCACGCTTACGCTCAACATATACGACATCTTACGAGCTGTATAAGTTCCAATCCGGTGGATAAACACACGTTGGTTTCGGTGTTCATGCAGAGTCTTGCGGATGGTCCCGTCAAGACTCACATGTTCTGGCTTGAACTAGATTCACTAGAACAAGCCATATCCATTGCGAAACAGGAGGACTTCAGTATGAGACAAGCTCGCGCCAGCTCGACATCATATCGTCAACCGAGACGATATGACAACGGGGGTCCAGAGCCGATGGAACTCTGCTATGTAGAGATCGAGAAGGCTCGCTCATCAGACTACAAGATTGCTGCAGAAATGCAACAGATGTCAAAAGATAAGACACAACGCTTACGAGTGTAGTGCCTCTCGTCCAATGTATCGCAACACTGGGCGTAGTGACCGTCCACCCATGAGAAAGGGGCAGGGAAGCGAGCCCGCTGTTGGTGCCAAGACGCAACAACGGGATGGACCGTCAAAAAACGGACAGGATCAGTAGGTGCGGAGCACCCTACTGGTACAGCAACGTCAAGAGAATTTGTAGGCATCTTGATGAAGGTTGCTCCCAACACACAAACGTTGTGCGTTGCTGCTCTAGGTAATGAGATCTCACTCATTACCTTGAAACTCGAAGTGACAAATAAGTTGTCCCTTCGAGCTCTAGTCGATTGTGGGGCGTCCAACAAATTCGTGCGACGCCAATCGCTAGAAGATGGTCACTTCAAGTTCAGTGAATGTGACACACCTCCTACGAGGATGACGGTACGTCTTCCGACAGGCGCATCCGTAACCGTCATGAAGCGTATAGTGAAGATCCACTATACGCGAGAACATACCCAACATGACGATGAATTTATCGTATTGGATTTGGATGACAAATTTGATGTCACCCTTGAAATACCGTGGCTCAGAAGGTACGAACTACTGGTTAACTGGCAACATCGAACAGTAACGATGCCTGCCGCTTGTTCATCAGATGGCCATCTGATGAAAGTTTTGGAGCGTCCACAAGCTTGTGGATGTACTACAAGTGAGTGCGATGGCCTCACTTGTGGTACGGTCGTTAGTACGACTGCACAAAACCTTAGTGTAACAAACGGTTACACTTCGGAGCAAGATTCCGGCGGCTGTGAGGAAACACAGGCTACGCCGAAGGTCCACCACTCGAATAAGTCGAGTGGACCGGGACAAAGATGTATCCCTAGCGGGGAACATCTAGAAGAGAAACAATCGATCGCTCAGGTTTAGCGAACAAAATTCCTAGATCGACTGGAGAGTCTTTCGCAGGATCTCGCTGTGGTTGCGCAACCACAGCTAGAGGAAGTTAAGGGAACAAGTCCCGATATTATAAATACGGCGGAATAAGTTCCCCGAAACCCGAGGGAATAAGTCCCCGGGAAGCCGAAGGAATAAGTCCTCCGAGGCCTGAGGGAATAAGTCCCCAGGAAATGACAGAGACATTGAATGTCATAGTCAATAACGGATCAAGTGTAGGCGCTTATACACTTGATCTGATTGCGCCTCCGAAGTTAACTTCGGAGATCACTCAGTTGCCAACTCTCGATCATAAAAGGTTCTTGCGTGATCTGTGTAGTGGCAAAGTCAAGCAGATCTGCGTACTCGTCGCTGACGACGAGTGTGTAGCCGACACAAGGTCAGCAACGGATTTCACCGAGAACGAGAGAGTTCTTAGTAGTTCATCTATGGACGAGAGTGTCCTGGATGAAAAGACACGAATTGAGCTATATGACTCCCAATCGTGGGAACCGCTCAAGACAAATCCTCTCTATGAAGATTTGGTTGAATTCAAGGATGTATTCCCTGGAACTGTTCCGTGCGAATTACCGAAGGATAAAGGTATCCGACACGAGGTCGAGCTTAAACCAGGCTCGAAGTACTGTGTCATGAGGCAGTGGCCACTGCCTCGTGAGCAAGTACTTGCGATCGACAAGCTCTTTGCCGATCGTTTAGCTGCGGGCCATGTGAGGGAATCAACTTCCCCACATAGCTCTCCAACCTTCTGTGTGCGAAAAGCAACAGAAGGGTGGCGGATAGTGCACGCGTTCAACAAATTGAACGCTGCAACGGTACCGGCTCAGACGCCGATACCGAGGAAGGACGTAATCATTGATGGTATGTCAAAGAGTACCATCTTTTCGTCCATGAATTTGATGGATGAATTCTATCAATTCCTTATGTGAGAACGGGATATACCCTGTACCGCAGTGAGCACGCCTAGCGGCATGCTCTGGGAATGGCTAATAATGCCACAAGGGCTTAGTAACGCCCCTGCCACGTTCAACAGATGTGTATCACATCTGTTGAGACCAGTGCGAGAATTTGCGCCGAGTTATTTCGATGACGTCTTTATTCATAGTCGGGCTATGGATGAAAAGTCGGACGTTGAGGTTCACGGATACCACGTCCGACAGGTTCTTACAATCATGCGAAAGCATCAATTGTATGCAAACCTCAAGAAGTTTATATTTGCAGCAAGCGAAATACCACTTCTTGGATGCATCGTTGGTAAGAACGGTGTACGTCCTGATCCCGAAACGATCAAGGCGATCACCGATTGGCCTGTGCCGGTCGATGTCAAAGGTCTTCAAAAATTCCTTGGGCTAGCGGCGTATTTGCATAAGTATTCACGCAATTACGCCGAGATGACTGTGCACCTCTCTCGTTTGTTGAAAAAGAACGAGAGGTGGTTATGGAACGCTGAATGTCAACGCTCCTTTGAGGGTATCAAGCAGAGCTTGATACAATCCCCAGTCCTAGCAATAGCCGATCAGGACAGGCCATTTCATGTGGTCTGTGATGCCAGCGATTTCGCAATCGGCTGTGCATTAATGCAGTACGATCTTGAAGGCGTTGAACGCGTCGTCTGCTATCAGTCGCGTCAGCTGCAACCAGCTGAGCGGAACTATCCAGTGCATGAAAAGGAACTCCTTGCCATGAAGTATGCACTCGCGAAGTTCAGAGTCCATCTATTAGGAGATAGACCCTTCGTTGTTTACACTGACCATGCGTCATTACGCACGGCAGTGAACAGCCCGCACCTTTCACAACGAATGGCGCGGTGGTTGTCATTCTTCGCAGAATACAACTTTACGGTCGAGTACAAACCAGGACGACTTAATGTCGTCGCTGATGCACTCTCACGTCGTCCCGACTTTGAACCAGTCGTGAAACCCAACAGTGAGACAGTCGCTGTTGTGCTTATGACGTCCTCAGTCCCATCTTCAACTTTGCATGATGATGTGAGGCGGGCGTACGCCCAAGATGGTGAGATTGTGAAGGTGTTGACACATCTCTCAGCCATCTCGAGAATCGTTGAAACGATCATCGTCTGCGTATCGATCTGCATCAGATCGATACGCTACTCGCAATGGATTACTGTATTATACAGCCGTTACTGGTGACACACCACGTGTTGGCATTCCAGATGATACTGATCTGCGTTTGCGGATCATGTTCAAGTATCACGATGCTCCTATAGGAGGACATCGTGGCCGGGAGAAAACATATATCACGGTGAATCGAGACTTTTACTGGCCCCGCCAGTATCAGTTTTTGCGAAAGTATGTTCGCGCATGCGAAGTCTGCCAACGAGTGAAGTCAAGTCCTTCACTGCGTGCACCTTTACAGCCTCTACCGGTTCCGGCTGAGTGCTGGGAATCCATCTCAATGGATTTCGTTTTCGGGTTACCCAAAGACGCACGCGGGAATACGGGTATTCTCGTATTTGTTGACAGATTCAGCAAAATGGTACACCTTGTGGCTGTACCAGAGACAATCACGGCAAGTGGCTGTGCTTGTGTCTTTATTGACACCATCTTGCGACTTCATGGGTTGCCCCGTGAACTCGTATCAGACAGAGATCCACGCTTCACTGCTGATTTCTGGCGTTCCGTGTTCAAATCACTCGGAACGCGCTTGAAGATGTCAACATCTGATCATCCAGAGTCAGATGGTCAGACGGAACGTGCCAATCGTGTCCTTGAAGAGATACTTCAAGGATACGTACACTCCTTTAAGAGTTGGAGTGAGTTTTTGCCGATGGTAGAGTTTGCCATCAACAACTCGGTGCATGCGTCCACGACACATACACCGTTTTACGTGAATGGCTTGCGCCATCCGCGTGTACACACCTTACTAGAGTGTAACTCTGGTTTAAGGGGGGGAGGGACTCGCGCGAGCAAAAACCGATTTGGTTCACGCTCATCACGCTCTGACGAAGAAGTCATTGCGTTTGATGCCAATATCGATAACATCAATATCGAAGAAGATGATGCCAGTGAGAGTGCGGAAGCCCTCACTGAAGACAATGATCCCAGTGAGAGTGCGGAAGCCCTCACTGAAGAAAAGGTTGTTGTCGCTGCAGTGCGCTCACAGCACACTGAAGCTAACGAGTCATCAGATGAGTTCGTACTGGCTCGTGAAACGGTAGTCCGTTTTGTGCAAGACTCCATCGCCGAAGCGGTGGATAAGCAAAAGCAAAACGCTGACAAGAATGGAAGGGCAAACACTCTTTTATTTAATAAAGGTGACTTAGTCCTACTGTCTACGGTTAATCTACCAAAGCATGTAGTGACTAACTTGGGTAGCAGTAAACTACTACCCAAGTACATTGGCCCATTTCGTGTATTGCACCGCCTAGGCAATGCATACACGATCGAGTTACCACGTAAGATGCGAACGCATCCCACGTTTTGCGTTGGTCGGCTTGAGCCTTACCATCAGTACGCTGCTTCTTCCGATGAAGAACGCCCTTGCGCTTAAGTATCTCGCTGAGAGCCTTGTGCTCCCGATGGTGGATATCGACAAGGGTCTGGAGAGCAGCTATCTCATCCCGAGACCGATCAACACTCCCACGAGCTACCCTTATCTCGTCACGCAGAGACGTCAGAGCTCTCTCGTTCTAAAGCTGAGCAAAGGCAAACTCAGCTCGATGCTTCAAGGCAGTGTCCGCCAGTTGGAGACGCCTGTCCCGCACATGTTCGAGATCTCCGCGTAACCCTTGCGTTACGCGATCAAAGAAGCTCTAGGGAACACACGCTTCCCCACGATAGTTTGGAGAGCGTGTTCCCTCCTCCTTCTCCTCCATTGGAGGACTCTCGCGGTGGCCAGCGCTTTTTAAATTGATCGGCTGTTGAATCACCGCGACGTGAACGGGCGTCGGACGAGTTATCTCGTCCGGTGGCGCGGCTGTCCCCCGTCCTGGGATTCTTGGGAGCCCCGCTCCCAACTGATGATCGACGTACGGGGTCTGGTTGAGCAGTACGACGCGGCACATCCTGTGCCGCAGAAGGACCGCCGGAGAAAGTCTTCCCGGCACGGTCGTAAAGGGATTTCAGGTTGTCAATCCCTTCGCACATCTCAGTAGAGACACGTACGCGCCACCACGGGCTAGTAAGGAGGTAAGCCTCCTTTAGGTGCTCGTGCAGAGTTGTCAACACAACATGAGCACGAGTCTCCCCTAGAGAGGCAGGGTAATCCTCTCTCCCTTGACAGACGATGCAGCTTGTAGCGTGCACCTGTCGGGGTTCGCTTTTCAAACTTATCACGAGCTTTGATAAGTTTGTGGTTCCAAACGTCACGACCTATATCCTCAAGGTTATGGATGTAAGCGTTCCACGCTTAAAGCAGCGAGGGACCATCACGCTTGTGATTTCCACTGCACCATCGGCGCGATAGTTTTTCGCACCGGGTTCAAGGTGATGGATGCCTTGACGAATCGAAACCGTGTTCGATAGCGATCACTCGTCGTCGCCGACAAGTGATCCATGACAGATTTAGGAGGCATCCATGCCTTCTTCTCGGGATCGAGACGCAAGACACTGCGGTCCCGCTCTTCTTACGACGTGCCGACAGAAGGACTGGCACCTCGTTGCGAAGTGGTGTCAATAGGAGAACCGACACCACTGTTAGCGCCCGAGTCTCGCGAACTCGAGCGCCTTCGCTTCGGCTATGGCTCACCTGATTCATTAGATGAACCAAAGATGCTGCGACGTATAGCATCATCCATGCCACGCTTGGCAGGCGGCTTGGATTCGATCGCCGTCGATACGGATACCTCTTCCGTATCGGGAGAGTATGAGACTCCGAGCTCATACTCTGTGAAGACGTGAGTGTCTTCATGACCAGCGCCTGCATCACCAAGTGACACAGGCTGAGTCGCTTCAGCAACCGATGAGACATCGTTTGCTGGGATTTCTTCTTCGGCGTCCGCACAGAGACGTGCAGACGCGCTCTCGGCGGCCTTGCTCGCGCATCGCATGGGCTTGTTTACCATGCGATGAAATGTTGGAAAGTGGACGCGGACCAACAAGTGCAAACCCTGTCCCAAATGATTTGGGACGAGTATCCATTTAGTCAATCAGTCACTAAAGTGACTGATGGTTAAGGGGGGGGGTGATGTAACGGGGTGAATCGTTTCATAACAATTAATAAGAAATTGTTAATAGAATATAACTATAAGAGTTATATTCTCAGAATATTGTCATAAGGACAAATATTCTGTAGCACTTACAAGTATTTCCTAATTGGTTGATATAGGCCATTATATCAACCAACGAAGACGCGCCACGACAGACGCACGCAATGAGTGGTGAGCAGATAACTGATTTGCACATTTGTATTTAGACATAGTTAGATGAAGATAAACAGTGATTTATTGCAGACATTAACTATTATAAGTACAGTTCTACTTTTTACTTAAACCAAGTACTCGCTTCTTCTTACCGTCTTCCTCTGCACATACGAGTGTACGTGAAGTTTCGAGGCACCGCCTTATTCTGTCATCAGAATAAGTAGCTTGTACTGTCATCAGTACAAGCTTCAGGGTGCCCCGTAACAATCTTGGTATATTAAAAAAGAATCTTGGCAGCTTGATATTCGATCCAGTTAATATGCTTTTTGATTACGACATTGCGATATTCACCCTCAGTTTTGTGGTATTCGATCTTGATATTGCGATGCTTATCTCGGTATTGCGCAGCTTTACATCCGAATGATCTTTCCCAACGAGTTGTCGCTGATTAAGATCACTCCTCCCAATGATAGACCCCGATTGATATGATCCGCTTTATCGCAGCCTTACCCCGCACTGATTACCGACAAAAAATATTGGTGTATCGGCTCTCTTTACCAGCGGTAATCTGCACTTTGTTGATCGGTTTGTACGCGTTTTTCCTTATAGGCAACTCTAACTATCAGTCGATCTTTTTCCCAGGCCTTCCTGAAGCTTTGAGATTCTTGCCACCGGCTGCAGTCCCTTTGCATTCAGTATAAATGTCAGAGCGGCCGCGTGAGCATTCTCCCCGCGACCGATCGGCGTATCCTGCATTCGTGTGTCGACGATCTTTTTGACTGCGCTGAGGCCCCTCAAGATTGGGCAACCGATTACAGTGTGATCTACTATCAGCTGAGAGCTAAAAAAACTGCGGCGATAGCTTGGAGCGCAAACTGTGCAACGTTCAAGAATTTGCCAGCCGATCCAGTAATTTTTATACAAGCAGTACAACAATTTGCGTGACTCGTTGGCTGATGCTCAGCAGAAAATGAATGATTTCCAATAGGAATTGGCTGACCAATAAAGACATCTGCAAAAGATTCCGACTCTTAAGTCCTTCCTTTTGAAGCTTTAAGCGGCCTGCTATGATGAACCAGAGAAGCATCGGCGTCACGCGTCTGTGCTCTAAGACATATTGGCAGTAGCGATCGCGTCTTGTCAAAATGCCGATGCTTAAGAGAAAAAAAATGGACCGAAAATGCGAAAGTCTAATTTTTGCTCACCAGTCATAGATAATGCAGGAGTAATTTATGGCCCAGCGAAGCTTAGGGATGATCGAGACTGAGCGCGATCGCTTTGCAGGCCAAGTTTCCGATATCACCAATTAGCGGGATCGGCTCAACTTACATCTCGTCGATCATGGTCGGTAAGTAAAGGAACTGGTCAAGTTGAAGGCATAGAGTGATGAGGCACTCTAGTTGAAAGATTCGCTATCTGTTGGCCAGGCTTAACTAAGCGCCAGTGCTCCTTTAAATGCTCTACCTACACCTGCCGTGTCTCCGCAAAAAAAACTCCGCTTAGATGCAAGCGATGGCCTCTGCCTCCGGGTCCGGGAAACCAAACGCCAAGCATCTAATCGTACCAGATCGTCGCCGGGTGATCGGCCTCTCTGAATTTGTTTGAACCTTTATCTCAAACGACAGCACGATCGGAGGTCAGTGATCACGCTAGTTACTCCACATTAAACGGCTTCTTCTAATCGTTGGCTCTCAATCTCTATCACCGGAGCGATCGAAAGGCAGCCATCAAATGAATTCTCCTGATGGTGATGCTGACAATTCTCTTCTGGAGGCATTATCGCCGTCCTGTTCTGCCATGCGACGTGGAACTGCGTCACTGTCCAAAAAATTCTCCTGCTTGAGTTCTTCACCAATCAACGTTGATTCTCCAGTCCGGGACTCCCAAATCACGGTGGTTCATCGCGAATAAATATGGTGTATAATTTTGGAGAGTCTATGAGCGTCTTTCAAGGCTACTGAAGCCTCTATGGAGCTCATCAGAGCCCCTGTAATTCACTGCTTTTTTTAGGCAACAGCGGCACTTTCTACCACCCACGTACCCCTCGATCGTCGCATTTCGGGGTATTGCGATCGGGTTCCGCAATCGGCAGTAGATATGTCCCCTTAGACGGCCCGATTACTGAGCTGGATCAGCGTAGCCGAGCTGGATAAAGAATTTTATCGTTATCACTTTTCTAAGCCCTTGAGATCTATCTTCACGGTCTAACTGGCAAAGTTCGCCATCCTTTCAGTATCTTTCTGGTCATCCAAGTATATCACGTATACAAAGATTGTTCAATTTTACCATCATCAACGTGGGGATCGTTATGATCAGATTACACGCCCAGATTCCTTCAAAACTTCCGCTAGTTTGAATAACTGGTCAAGGCGTAGGAAGGCTTCGTAGATAGCCATCGCCAAGCTCGGTGTGAATCAAACCATTTTGCCTCAATTTCCGCTGAGCAAAGTAGAACGGATCCTGGGTTGGCCACTTTTGCTCGAGCGAGGAACCAGTGACGACCTCGTGCTAGACGCCGTTGGAAGCCGGTACTGCAGCTATTTCTTCAGAAATAAACGATAGCCTCTGCGATTTGTATATTTTACTAAACATCATGTTTCTGCACTTTCCCCTTCCGAATGAGGCTAGAATGTGGTATTTCAGCTTATATGTGTGGCGGACCAAAGTAACCAGATCGATCACGGCTATGTTGATCTATCACACAACGAGCGTAGAAGATCCCACTTTCTTCCTTTGGTCGCATCCTACCTTTGGTCGTCTCTTTCTAGCTTTGTCAGTAGTTCTTTAACCGCGAGTAATTAAGCTGGTCTACTCCATGATACGAACTCCAAATACTTTCTTTTTATTTCCATTCGATCGCATGCACAATTCATCTATAATCTTTCTTTTTCATCGTCTAATCATCGTGAACGCACCATTTGATCTGCGATTGTCGCACTCGACCACAAAAATTACATTCCAAATCCGTGTACAACTTCATTGCACCCATAACTCTCCTTTTCGTCCATGCGCTTTCCCTGCATAGACCCATCCACTCAAGATTTCCGACAATCGCTTTTTTCTGGCTTCTTCTCCGTGCAATTACTTCACCTCAAAATATTTTTTCGCTCACTCACTCGCGATCGAGCCTCTGCCACATAAATCCACAATTAAGATCAGCTTCATTAATACAGGTTGGTTCGCTGTACTCCTTCCGTTGTACCAGGAAGTGCTTGAGTATTCGACCATATCTCGTCTTCATTTTGTTTGCACATCAGTGATTTTGTCTACTTCAAACTCGTCCGCGTCAAGATCACCGTCCTAACGGTATTCTGGCAGCAGTTATTTGTCAGAATTAAACCAACTTGCCTTTTTAACGAATACATTGTTCCTCTCCCATACATCATACACGTCCAACCCACTCGTTGGGCGTTCTAAAAACACAAGAACTAGCTTCAGATTAGACACGTGGACTACTGGGAATGTTAGGTATATTGTACCCGCGGCATTCAACTTTACAACGTGACTGCTGCATTTTTCAGATATCCAAAAGGTTCATGCCACAAATGGACTAGCCTGCGAGCATATACTTCCTTGACTTGTTCCACTTCAGCCAGACTCGTGACATGCGATCGATATATAATACTTCTCAATCTTCATGGTGTCGATTGGCTCGAACTTTGATCACAACCTCCCATCGGGTATAAAGTGCAGCCTGTGCGCGC